AGTTAGTACGTTCATTGTCCTTTCGGTTTCCACATTTAAGTATGAAGACTCCCTCTGCGGGATTTAAGTACGTATGGTAAATAGAAGCGAAAGAACAAGTTAGTATACATTTTTACAGGTTGTGCGGCGCAAAGAGCGGCATGAATGTGTACAGAGCTTTATGACCACTTGTGGAGCTTTCACCAAAAATGTTGTAAGATCAAAAAAATTAAGGTGGTAGCTGTTTGATTTAAGTGATTTGAGCTTAAGAGTGCAAATAATATTAATTTTTGTTGCTTTTTATATATAAAAGAAAATTAGTTCGAAAAACAATATGTGCGAAAGTTTGTATATTTCTTGAAAATGCGTAACAAATTGCTTAGGAAAAAATATTTACTTTTAATGTGTTTACTTTACAAAAAAAAATTTAAAAAGTTCAAAAAAGCTCGCTCGGACTTTTCAGTGAAAGCTCTATTATTTTGCGCTACTAAATGCCTGCCTAACACTTTCCACTACCTCTCTTCTTACCGCAACACCTTTAATTTTAGTTTTTAATAAAGTATTTTTTTTTTTATTTAGTTTCTATACTCTAAGGAAGTAGTAAAGTCACAATTTACATAGTAGGTATGGTAGTATCTTGCTTGCATGGTTGCAACGCACTCCACCGCGGAATGCGCCGTTAGCAGGCTAGCTATCCATAGAAGTAGCATAATAGTAGTATACATTTGATGTGTGTTAGTTTGTATGTTAGTTTTGTAGCAATGAATTAAATATTTATTGTAAGTAATTTTTCGTATATTTGTATGTATATTCTCCTCATAACTTGCTATATTAAAATTCAACACTTTAAATTATAGTTAAATTTAATTTAAAAAAAAAAAAATCATTTCGTATACTTTCATTTGAACTTAGGTTTTGTGTTTCTTATCAATTTGCTTATACACGCACTAACTTTTTTTTGTTTTTATATTATTATTAGCTAACTTCTAACCTGCTATACACATATTCTTATTTGCTTACTATTATTTGTTAGCTGTTTCTATACTTCTTTCTTTCTTTTTTATTGTGTTAAGTAAATTACGTATATATTGTTACATTTTTATGAACAGCACTGTCGGTTGTAAAAATTTTGTTTGTGTATCTGTTAGTTGAAAATAAAAAATATGTCAAAATTGCAAGTTGAAAGTGCTAAACTAACTTTTTAATAGATGGTTTAAAGAACAACATTTTGTATTGCCACAAAAAGGTGAACGAAAAGCTAATAGTACTAATAAAAAGTGGTTAACACAAGTAAAAAATGTATGCAAATTTTATTTTATTTTATTTAATGCATATTTATTAGTGCGCTAAAATGCATGTACGTATGTATGTTAAGGACGTGTTGGTATTTTTGTATTTTTCAAATGGTATAACCGCTTGTATTTTTGTTGTTTTTAACTTCTCTTAAGAAAAATCGTATACTTTGTGTTTGTGTATTTTGTTTTAAACTAAGCCTACTTTTAATTACGTATTTAAAGTTGATTTTACTTCTTTTCAAAGGAATATTTTTGAAAATTTTGCAGTAATACTAACATTTTTTCACCGCTTCCATTTTAATTTGTAAATATATATATATATTATTTATATATATAAAGCTTAAATTTTAATTCAAATAAACTTGTAATTCTGAAGTTATTGCTACTATTTTACAAAATTTACCTGCCACTAGTTATGCACCGTCGAAACGGCCTCAACCCCCAGACATAATAATAAAAAAATAAAAATATAAATAAAAATAAAAAACCAAAAATGAGAAAAAAACAAAAAAATTTCAATCAGTGCATATATTACGTATATCGGTTTGCAGTTACACTTAACGCTAATCTAAAATAAAACACAAAAAAAGATGTTCAACTATTGCCCTCTGTTATTGACTATAAACTAGAACTTCGCTCACAATATACACTAGACTTTCTCCTTATTTGTATACATATATATATATATATATATATATATATTTAAATATATATTATTAATTTTCTTTCGCAATTATTTGTTTTTGTATATATTTCTCCTTTCAATTAGTTACTTATGTTCTCAGTCATTAGAAGTTATTACGTACATATATCTGTTTCGTACAGGAGTTGCTTTAGTAGTGGTAGTAGTTATAGTAGTATTTGTAATAGTAATGATTGAAGTTTAGTTTTTTTTTTTTCAATATAATGTTATAGCTGTTGTAAGAAATATGCGCTACCGCCCCATAATGTAAGAGTGGCAGCATATTACAAATACATATAGATGAAACTTGCATTGCAACTGTAAAACTAAACTTTATCTTGCACTTTGAACGCTTAACCATGCAAGTGCTCAGCTAAGCACAGTCTGCAACAATTCGACCAGCGCTCATTGCAATTCGTCGGGCGAGCAAAAAACATTTATTTTTGTCTTAAAAAAGCTTTTAAGTTATTAAACCGTTCAAAAACTTTACCGCTTTGGGCATGAAAGCGCCTACTTTTGCTTGGCTGAATTTCAAATAGTCTAAATAAATATTTTTCAATTACAATTGATTTCTTTACTCCCCCTTACTGCTGTATTTTACTAAAAATCCGCTTCGTTTTTAATGTGATAGCTCGCATATGTCTGCTCCAATGGCGTGAAATGTTGTTGCAGTTGTGGCTGGTGCGTTGAGTCCTGGATAAACAGTTTTTAAGACAGTGAGAGGGCAACAAAAGCATTAAAGACGCGCCACTTTTCAGTTTAAATTAATTTATAAACAAAAAATTTAAATATATATATTCTATATAGTTTAATATTGTCGATTTGGGTAACGCGCGCTTTGACTATATACAGAAAATAAAAAAAAAAATTAAAAGAAGAGGCGCAGTTATTTTTTGACTTATTTAATTAGAATTTGGCTAGTCATCGAAAAAATAATTTATTTAGCGTTATAACCGCATAACGGCATTTACCGTGCATCAAGCAGTAATGTAAAATTACTGTTGCTGCTATGTATACCGTTATTTTTAGCATTAACTAGCGTTTGGTTTGGCAAAAGTGTGTGCGCCTTAATGCTATAATGGGTGGTAGGTTCTCGGTAAGTAGTTAACTACATACATAAGTGTATATAAGTAAATAATTTAGTTTAAATCTTTAGGATTAGTTGAAATAAAATTTAATATATAAGGTAAATATATATATATATAAGTATGTATTTATGGTTGTTGTTGGTATATATATATAGTTTTTTGTATTAATATAGAATAATATGTATATATATGTATTAGTTTATACATATATATATATATATATATATATATATAATATAATTAAATATATATTGGCGAGCTATATGGGCCTCTTGCAAAAACGAAGTACTTTTTCTCACAATTCCATGTTCTTCAATGCGCTTCAAACAAATTCTCATTGGAGCTGTTTTCTTGCGTTTGCGCACTGGCTTCATTTCAAAACTTTTTATTTATTCAAAAACCCTGGCATTGGTTGTTTTGAATGCAAAATTAAACATTTTGTTTCTTTTTTTTTTCGTTACTTTTTTTAAGTTGTGGTACTTTTGTGTTAAAAATTGCTTTCATCTTCTTCTTCCTTTTTAATTATAACTTTTAGTTTTGTTATTATTGGAAAACTTTTTACAAATTTATTTTTTGTTTAGTTGTTGTCTGTTGCTTTGTAGTTATGAAATAATTTTTACAATAGGTTTTTGCAAAAAACAATGAACAAAAACAATTCTTATTATGCGGTTGGATTAGTAATCCATTGTTGTTATTGTAATGCAAAAATTTCTTATGTGGTATTTACACAATTTCAATTGTTATCACCGCCGCCAACAGCGTTGCGAAACACTGCAACATTGCTGCCTGCAACAAGCTTATGCATACTACACTTACATATGTTGCTAGCAACAATGTTGCAACACTTCTAACTATGCTGGCTGCCAACAAACAAATTCACTGTTCTTTGCTTTCGTATTCAATTGAAGTTTCGTTATGTGTTTATTGTTTGTCAATTGTTGTTGTTTGATGTGTGGTGTTTGTTCGCTTTGTTGCCGCAGCGGTGTTGCACCCACGTATAGTGACAATGAAAAATGGCTGTGACAGTGGTGGCGTCGCCCGTCAACGGCAGCAGCTGCATTTGCGTCTGCGTCAGCAACAGCAGCAAATGATTTTCATTGCAATGTGCAACTGGCAACTTTTGAAAATAATTTCATTTAATTTGATTTTTGCTGCAATTCCTGCTGCTTTGTATGCATAAATTCGCGCCTGGCAATGCTGCAATTTTCGCAATAAAAATTGCCGCTCATTGCTGCCCATTTTCGTTTGATTTTTACACAAATAAAAATTTTCACTTGCATTTGGCTGCTGGGACATTTATCCACCAGTGGTAGCATGTTGCTGCGTTGAAATGTTGCTCACTTGCTGTTGTTGCTGTTGCTGTGGCGCTTGGCGGCTAGTTTGTGTGCATGCGTGCGTTCGTTTATTGTTCGTGTTTTACTTGTGCTTTTTCGGCTTTTGAGCGTTTTATTTTTTTATTTTGATTGTTTTGCTTTGGCAGGTTCTCGGCTGCCCATTACCATTTTTCTTTGTTGCTATACGTGTGCGTAACGCCTTTTGAATTTGCGAATTTGTTTGTTGTCATTGTTGTAGCGGTGTGGGTCTCATTTGTGCTATTTGCTCTTGTTTTAAACGAATTCTAGTTTTATTAATTTACAAATTTGTTTGTGGCTTTGTTTGAGCTCCTTAAAATTTTTCTTATGCTTTTTCGAAGTTTTGCAATTTTTTTTGGCATTATTCGTTTTCATTGGAATTTAATTAGTACGGAACTGTTTTTATTTGCTTGCTTTTTAGTGTAATTATTATCTTTCTTTGTTTTTTTAATTTAATTTAATTTAATTTATTTTAATCCCAGGGCATTGTGAGCACCCGCTTCGTTTTTGCAAGAAGGTCGTTATCGTACTACGAACATGGGTGCACCACCGCATTGTAGCTCGCCAATATAGGACCATGTGCTCCCGCGAAGGGGGTACTCACAACGTCTGGTGTACTAGCTCCATCGGTGTGCGATGTCGAGTCGGCATTACTTCTTCCTTCACCATTAGCTGAACCTACTTCTGGTGGTTTGGTGGTGTCCCGTTCGTCAATCACTAAATCTATTGGCATTTTACCCTTTAAACATGAGATATATCGATGACAGAAATTATCGCATAATTCATGCACCTGCAATGGCATAACAGAGAACACGAAGAAAAAAGAGAGCGATAGAGAGAGAGAGAGAAAGAGAGCAGAAAAGAAAGAGAAAGAGAGAAAAATAGTTCATGAGTCGTGATTGCAAAATTGATTTCAAAAATTTACAAACTATGCTTTATACTTTATACATTTAAAATATTTTTAAATATTTAGAATTTTTATGCAATTTTATTTGGTTGTTATTTAAACGCCGCAAGTTGTTGCCAATAAATCAAAATATTTTTCAAAAATTAGTGGGGTTTTTAATGGTGGGTAAAATGCTCCGATAAATTTTGTAGAATTTTGTACGTTTTACTTGCTGGGTTTTAATATATATATATTTTTTTGGTGTTGTGTGGGACAATAAATTGCCTAACGGTGTTTTTTTCACTTGTCTGTTATAAATTCTAAATAGTTAATAATATAATTTTTATTTTGCATAGAAAGTGATCTATTAAAGTGAGTAAATATGCTAAATTAAGTTAAATCTAAATGTTTGTAATGCAAATTACTGCCGTTTAATAAGTCATATATTATACTAAACTGCCAAAGGCATGTATTACAACGCATATTGCTTTTCCTTAATTGAAGCGTTTATTTATTTTGTAATTAAGTATAATTTAATAACTCAGTGAGTATCTAATAACATAATCTCGTAAGAGAAAAGAGTTATGGCTTTTTTATTTAAATTACTCAAACTTTTATTGTACGCTTTAAATATTTATAGCTGTCTTCGATTCGCCTTTTGTCTACTCGATAGTTTAGTAACAACAAAACTAGCGAGTTGTATTCAACGCAAGAGAGTATGCGGCTAACTCATAAAAGTGGTACAACTCATATCTTCAATGTTGCCAAATATTTTTGTACGCATTTTGAATCAGTTAACTATTGTGAATTGCTCAAATTACTCTCAAAAATGTAAATACAAATAAACTTTTACTAGATTTTAGAAATTTGGGATTAAATTCAAATTATAACTGTTTATTGAAAACGTAAGGCATGAGCGCTGGGTGAAACTAAGGGGTTATTCATTTTTTTTTTGCGCTAAACCAAATATTTCTCAAACAAAGGGGGCAGCGCAACGCAATTGAGTATGTTTTAGTGCACATATTAGAGCAAGGTTGCTTATTACGCGCGTCAGTCTGTTCGAACAACTGCTATAGTTTGTTCGCTAAGCTACTCTCCAACGATTGGTGAATAGAAAGCAGCTTAAACATTTAATAGCGTGCTGCTCACGAATTCTTGATTGTACAGGTCAAATCTACTAAATAAGCTCAAATAATTTTTTTGGAATTTTTTTTAATAGAAATGCAAAAAAAATTTGCAATCATTTATTTGTATGAAATTTTGAATAATTTTTTTTTTTTATGTAAATATTTTTTGTTTTGTTTAATATCTCCTTTAAATTTCCTAAAATGTAATTTTGACTAAAAAATATATTTTTTTTTAATTTATAATTTTTTTTTTAGTATTTATTTTTATTCCAATTATTAATATTATTCGAAGAATGTCTAAGTTTTATTTTTAATTTGCTTTGAAAATTTCTTAATAAATCACTTTTATGCAAAACGTATAAAGTTTATATAATATGTGGCATAATAATATAAAATAATGTAAGCCTAGAAAGAAGAATGCAGGTAGTTACTCATATATTATTACGTTTTTTTTTTTTGAACAAATCTGTATTATTTTATATTTTAATGAAACAAATTAATAGTGTATTTCATGCAAATATGCAAATATTTTTTAATTACCCATTCAGCGCATCATTCACACATTCATTCATCATAAAATATGCACTCGTTGCAAGTAGCGTTTTTCGCGCAATTAATAGCCGCGCCGATATTCCCTCAACAGCAAATTACATATGTACATATGTACACATATTCATGCAGCAACTGCATGCCACATAAGCACACACCAAACTGCAACACTTGCAACGAACGAAATTCAACTGTCAACCTCAACACTGACAGATTAATCAAACAATTATTATGTTTATGATCATTGTTATTGTTATTGTAAGTGTTATTTTTGTTGCTACTACGGCGGCTGGTGTAGTAATTATCAGAACTGCGCATCAAGCAAAGATTGCGCCATAAAATATATACATGTATGTGTGCATATCAATTGTAGATATATTTACAAGCGCGTGCGCAACGAACGCCAACAACAACGGCAACGGCAAGCAAAAGCGAAAACAAAAATATTTCACTTAAAATATCTGCTGGAATTGCAATAATTATTTGTGAGTTCACTCGCCGCTGTCTGGTATTGTTATCATTGCTGTTATTGTTATTGTAATTATTATAACGATTATTGTTATGCTCATGTTGACGTTTTATGATGGCATTGCAACGCCAACAACAGTAAAAGTCGAAGACGATAGCGAAGCGTCGACTGGCACGAAATTGATTTGTACGCATGTTATCTGTCACACCACCAGCGCTACCATAAACGCAAGTGCAACAAAACTACCAGCTAGCTGCAACACCAACAAATGTGATGTGTGTATTTTGCTGCAAAAAAGCGTCAAAGTCTGCGCTAAGGAATTTCTGCAACGCATTCTTGTAGTCCCTTTGGAAGTTGCACGAAATGACAAGGCGAACGCTAGCGCGTCAAGGTGGCAGGCTGGTCAACTTATTATGTATGCTACATTAAATGTTGCAAGAAAGCGAACAGTTTTAGTCAAGAGTTGTGTCTAGAAAAGGGTAATAAGATAACGGGCGGTGTGTTTAGCAACTTTGGAGGCGATTTTTGGCAAATACAACATGTGACAAATGCATGCAACAATTTGTGGCAAGCAAATAATTTTTATAATTTATATATAATTATATAAGGCGAAGTGCCGAACATGCAACATGTATTTGCAACAACTTGTAGCAAGCAACTAATTTTTGTAATTGATATATAATTATGTAGAGCAACTGCCAAAGCCCAAAATTTACATAAAAAACTGTGTATAATTGTATATAACAGTTCATTCAATAACGCTCCCAGTGGTGTGTGCAAGCAATAGCCGTCAGAAGACGGTGAACAGCAGGTAAGTTGATTTTATGTCTTTAATTTTTTTTGGGCTACAACTTGAAGATGCCAATGCTGCAAGAAACTCGTTTGACCGCTTTTATGCGCAGTTAAACTGTGCCACAGAATATGTAAATAAGCAAATAGTGGCAGAGAAGTGGAATTTTGAAGGCTTGGTAAGGAAAAAGTGGAGCATGGGAGGGTATGGAAAATTATAGAAAAAATATTTAACAACGGCAAGTTGTTGCAAGTTTGCAAATATTTATTTGAATTTTCGGTAAGCAATAAAAGTATTAATATTATTGTGCGTGTCACGTTAAAAAATTAAACCACTTTGAATTGACAATCAATAATTGTTTGCAATTTTTAGTAAGATTTTAGGTTAGTTTCGAACAAGCGCAATATTTATCGAATGTCAGCGCGCCTGCGTACAACGCTTTTTTAGCGCTGCACTTTCCCAGCTCACCACATAATCGCGCGTTGCACTCAAATTTGCATTACTGCTGCGCACATCGCGCTCATTTCCTTATCGCTGCTGTTCATCATGCTCACTGGTGCACACATATACATACTCTCAAAAAGGTTAATAAAACATTTAAATCGCTCAAAGCTTTCGGCTAATGCGCTGCCTTGCATTCGCAAGTGCATGCGCTATGACAGCCGCCGGTCCGTGTGTCGTTGCCGCGCATGCGTCACAGCTGTACGTACTTTAGTGCGCAAACTTTGTAGGTTAATATATGTATATACATATATGCATATATGGTAGATATGTAGTGCTTGTGCCCGCGAGCAATTTGACTTTTCTGCATATTTATGCGATTTTTGCATTTCAGCTGGCGTTTTAGTTGGCCACACGAGTACTCAGATGCAGAGGCGAGTAATGGAGAAGATAAATTGGTTTGCGTTCAGCAAAATTCTATATGCCATATGATCTTTGTTGTTGTTGTCGTGCGTTTATGTGTGTGATTGCATACTATAGAAAGGGTGCCACAACCTTGTTTGTGTGTGTATGATATTTTTTTTTTACTTTTTTTTAATACAGTCGCCCGCCATTTGAGTGTATTTCAGGTTTTACGCGCTATTTTTTGCGCCCTTCATTTTATACGCAGTCTTCTCAAATGAATATTTTTGTTTTATTTTTGCACATGGATACACATAAAAGCTAATTTGCATGCGATTTGCCGGCAGTAAGCCTTTTATTGTATCAGCCATGCAGCCAGCCAGCCATCTTCTTCTCGCCCAACATTTGTTGGTTGGTCGCGGAATTGCTTGTTGGTGGTGGCAAAGAACGCAAATTTAGTGGCGCAGGTAAACGCGAGCTTTTCAAATTCAGCCTTTGTGTTAAGGGGGCTACGGAACGGTGGCTGAAATTAGTGGTTCGAGTGTGTTGGTGTATGAAATTCGCAAATAATTTCTAATACATTTTTTTTTTTTTGAAGTAAGAGTTGTTGGTTTTTGTGAAGTATAATGGAAAAAGTAATATATTTTTCTCATAGTAGGCAAGATTATATTTTTTTAGTAAAGAAAAAGTATGTAATTTAATATGTAGCACATAATTCAACACAATATAGCATAAAAAAATATTGTAATGAGTGAAATAAAAATTTTAAATATTTTTTCGTTAATAACTTCATAAACGAGTATTTGATGGCGAAAACAAATTTTTTTTTTTTCAAATAGTAAGTGGATTTTTTTTTTTATTAACACAAACAAATGTTTAATATGCATATGTATTTTTATTCAGCACAATTCTGCATTTATAATATATTCTAATTTGGAACTGAAAAATATTTAAAATATATATTTTTTTATACGCTTTTTTTACGCGTTTCGAGTGCCTTACAAATGTCAGCAATCTTCCCCAGCACTCCATATTACAACAACCCACACAAGATAGCACTCAGCTAGCCACTCTTCTGTCCCCAAAACACATTCCATTTGATTTTTCCATTAATTTTTTTTCTCAT